TTTAGTAGAGACGGGGTTTCACTGTGTTAGCCAGGATGGTCTCGATCTCCTGACCTCGTGATCTGCCCGCCTCGGCCTCCTAAAGTGCTGGGATTACAGGCTTGAGCCACTGCGCCTGGCCCCAGGGTCTCTTAAATTCATGATCCGGTCTTGTTAGAGACCCAGTGATGAGGAAATGTGACATGGGACATTGGCCACAGAGCCCAGTGCCCACAGGCCACACTCCAAAGGGGGACCCCTCTTATCCGCAGTGTCCCAGAACCCAAACCCTCTTCCTCTCCCTCAGCCTCCACTGACCCACACGTCCTGCCCCACTTAGAGAGGGAGCTCCAAACCCCACACCAGGTCTCCAGCCCAGAAGAAGCCTCTTCTTTTCTTTTCTTTTTTTTTTTTTTAAGAGACGGAGTCTCACTCTGTTGCCCAGGCTGGAGTGCAAAGTGCAATGGTGCTATCTTGGCTCACCGCAACCTCTGCCTCCTGGGTTCAAAGCGATTCTCCTGCCTCAGCCTCTCGAGTAGCTGGGATTACAGGTGTGTGCCACCACGCCTGCTAATTTTTGTATTTTTAGTAGAGACAGGGTTTCACCATGTTGGCCAGGTTGGTCTTGAACTCCTGACCTCAGATGATCCGCCCGCCTCAGCCTCCCAAAGTGCTGGGATTACGGGCATCATCAGCCACCATGCCTGGCCGCCTTTTTATTTTGTTTTGTTTTGTTTTTTTGAGATGGAATCTAGCTCTGTTACCCAGGCTGGAGTGCTGTGGCACGATCTTGGCTCACTGCAAGCTCCACCTCCCGGGTTCATGCTATTCTCCTGCCTCAGCCTCCCGAGTAGCTGGGACTGCAGGTGCCTGCCACCATGCCCAGCTAATTTTTTATTTTATTTTATTTTTTAGAGATGGGGTTTCACTGTGTTAGCCAGGATGGTCTCGATCTCCTGACCTCGTGATCCACCCGCCTTGACCTCCCAAAGTGCTGGGACTACAGGTGTGAGCCACCGCTCCTGGCCTTTTTTTTTTTTTTCCCAACACAGTCTCACTCTGTCTTGCCCAGGCTGGAGCGCAATGGCACGATCTCGGTTCACTGCAACCTCCGCCTCCTGGGTTCAAGCTATTCTCCTGCCTCAGCCTCTGGCATGTACCACCACGCCCAGCTAATTTTTGTGTTTTCAGTAAAGACGGGGTTTCACCATGTCGGCCAGGCTGTGGTCTTGAACTCTCGACCTCAGGTGATCCACCCGCCTCGGCCTCCCAAAGTGCTGGGATTACAGGGGTGAGCCACAGCGCCTGGCCTAAAATAAAAAACTTTTTGAGTAAAATAAAGCTTTTGGCTGGATGTGGTGGTTCACACCACCCTAATCCCGGCACGTTGGGAGGCTGAGACTGGCAAACTGCTTGAGTCCAGGAGTTTGAGACCAGCCGGGGCAACATAGCAAGATCACATCTCTACAAAAAAAAGAGCCGGGCATGGTGGCACATGCGTGTTGTCCCAGATGCTCAGGAGGCTGAGGAAGGAGGATCACTTGAACTCGGAGGTGGAGGCTGCAGTGAGCTGAGATCATGCCACTGCACTTCAGTCTGGGCAACCAGAGTAAGACCCTGTCTGAAAAGCAAACAGACAGACAATCAAAAACCCAGAAACGGGGCCGGGCACAGTGACTCACGCCTGGAATCCCAGCACTTCGGGAGGCCAAGGCGGGGGGGTCACCTGAGGTCGGGAGTTCGAGACCAGCCTGGCCAACATGGCAAAACCCTGTCTCTACTAAAAATACAAAAATTAGCCGGGTGTGGCTGCAGGCGCCTATAATCCCAGCTACTCAAGAGGCTGAGGCAGAAGAATTGCTTGAACCCTGGGAGGTGGAGGTTGCAGTGAGCTGAGATCACGCCATTGCACTCCAGCCTGGGGGACAGAGTGAGACTCTGTTTCAAAAAACAAAACAAAACAAAAAACCAGGCCAGGCGTGGTGGCTCACACCTGTAATCCCAGCACTTTGGGAGGCCGAGGCGGGTGGATCACTTGAGGTCAGGAGATCGAAACCATCCTGGCTAACATGGAGAAACCCCATGTCTACTAATAATACGAAACTTAACTGGGCGCAGTGGCGGGTGCCTGTAATCCCAGCTACTTGGGAGGCTGAGGCAGGAGAATCGCTTGAACCTGGGAGGCGGAGGTTGCAGTGAGCTGAGATCGCACCATTACACTCCAGCCTGGCAACAGAGCAAGACTCCGTCTCAAAAAAACAAAACAAAACAAACACACACACACACACACACAGAAATATGTAGTATTTTCAGAGCATCGCAAGCATTTGAGAATTGCTCATTCCCAGGGGTGCCCACAGTCTCCCTCTGCAAGCCAGGAATTCGTTACGGTTCCATG